TTACTCTGCTTCTGCTTTCAACTGTGGCAATTTCTGTTCTGGCAGCTCTAAGTCTTCTCGGAACGTTCTAAGATTTTTTGATCATGTTTAAGAAATCAGAACTGGGATATGTGTAAGGTCTTAATCGGAGACGACCGCCTCAACCAGCCATTAATGTGGTAAATCAGTTGCCTTTAGATTGAAAACAATGGACAGGCAAAATGGGCCTTCCTCAGATTTTTGCGGAGTTAGGTAGTAGACCTCCAAGTACACCGTAAACGAAAACCCCACCTGCCAACGCGCTAAGTCCTGAAAATGCGATTCAAAAAACCACCAGCCCCGCATACTTCCGTTGTGTGGGCGTCTTTGCTGGAGTTTTGAAGCGTATCTTCCAGGACTTAATGCATGAATTGGCAGGTGGGATTTGGGCTACGGTCTACTTGGGAGTCTACTACCTAACTCCACAAAATTCTGAGGAGGCTCCATTTTGCCTTCCCACTGCCTTCAAGACGTTCATAGTCGAAAATTTAGAGAGCTGTTTCTGATACCGTGTTCGAAGAACCATTGAAGTTCGAGAACGGAGGCAAAACTGAAGAGCAAAAGTGCAAGCGTCAGAATTTTAGGAAACGGGTATGTTTCTTTTGCAATACAGTCCATGAAAATATGTTCTTTGCGGCTCCATTCAAAGGTAGTTATTTGCACTATCTCAACCTCTAAAGCAGGCTTTAAGGCTTCAAACTTTTGTCTTTTGCACAGCTATATCAATCGTCTTTAGATGTCGGAAACGACCTTTGCAATATCTTACTCTTTTCTGATATTTGCTTTGTTGTTTTCACTACTACCCTCATACATGTTGCCAGCAAACTCAGTTGGTATGCATTTTGTAAGTGGTCATTCTTGCAAACTGACACTTTCTCCACTTCCTTAATGCAGACGAAGCTCGTCTTTCAGTCATCTTAAGGATAAACCTTCTACTTTGATCAGTCTGATTTCTATCAGCTGTGCCGTTACTTTTGGTAGCTTTAACATTTTGAAGCCCTAAGATAAGGTCATCTGATCGTGCGTGATCAAGCAGAATCGGGATGTGTTGAACCATATTCAGAGACGGCTGCCTCTAGCAATTAATGAGGTCACTTAGTTGCTTTGTTGCGTAAACACAGATGTCATGTAATCCTTTCAAAACGGCACAGAGTTCTTCGCCCATATCTAAACACTCTCACTTGAATTGTTTCGATTGTATTCTGCTTCGTGAATGTACAAAAGAGAATACAAAATTGGAATAAAAGGAATGGAGGTCGATGAAGTTATCAGTTGTTTTGCAGAAGCAGCAACGGGAAAAGGGAACTAGGAGGCTGGAAGATGACAATGGTCCATCATCTTCCCAGTTAGAGCCTCATGTCAACGAAATGGCTGCTCACTGTCATGTAAGTGCGTATATATAAGTTTTAGTTATGATTGATTTCGAGCTTTTTCGTAGATTCAAGAGGACAAAAACAGTAGTCAAATCGCAGATAGTGCCGTTCCATCTGATAGTGTAGAGTTGACTTCACAGGTGGGTTGACTTTACTTCCATCGCATGGCTTGAGATACGTAAAAATTTGCAAGTGAGCAATTTTTATTTATTGCTTGAAAACACCAGGCAGGGTGTGTGAGGTGGTCGGGTAAAGGTCAAAGTTGGGGCGTTGAATTGTGGTGTAGACGAATATCTTGATAACGACAGTAGCTTCACTACTCGAGTTTTTTCAACAAAAATCGTATGTTATAGAAGTCGTTTTAGATGTTCGAATTTCAGGATGAGAACTCCCTTTCTATATTCAATGGAAAAGTGGAAGAGCTACCCATGAAACCATTCTGCGAGGAGGTAAAAGGCGATTGTCAGGTAATGCATTAGTTACTTTTGTTCTATATTTTCGGAGCAATTAGTTGAACCAATCATTCATAAAGTGAGCATTTGGTCTTCACGAATTAAATAGATGTTTAGGCAGGATCCTTGTCCCTAACCGAGCTACCACTTGATGAGAATCAGCATTTGGTATGCACTGCCAAATCCTGCTTTTCTGAGAAGGTGAACTGATTAATAGCGTTTAATTTCTCTGTCATTACGTTGTTATGATCCCAGGATGTCCGTAGGCGTGGTGTCAAAAACAAC